AGGAAAAAGGAAAAAAAGGAAAAAGGAAAAAAAGGACAAAGAAAAATAAGCAAGCATAACAATCACTCATTTGGTAGTACAACACACTGCTGTGGATTTCATGGCATTTATTCTACTATACCTAATTAAGGGCTGTGTTCATAATCAAACTGGTGACTGAAATGCACTGAGCAAGACGTTTGTGAGATGGTCTGATGGCAGCTACCAACTGCTTTTTCCACTTTTCTCATTGCTTATTACCTTAAGAAGTAACAAGATGGCATTGCACTTTGAGAACACCGAAAGGAAAAGGAGAACAAGGGATTTCACCAAAGGACAAAAAAATCCAAGCCACTGACAGCACAATTTTGAGAAAAAGGTGAGTGTGTCTTGATTGTTTAAAAAAAAAAACACCAAAAACATGAGATGGGAATTGAAAATTAATGTTCATTCTAAGCTGTTTGTGCTCTACATAGTGCACCCAAAACATATGTGCCATTGACGTACTATTTGAAAGAGTTAGAGAGAAAGTTTAAAAGTACCAGCCTTGGGCTCCTCTTTCGCAGAGAAATACATTTTTCCCAATAAGTATTTGCTTTCTTTAGGCTAAGATAATTTGTGTAATTAGAAGGAAAAAATATTAGTGCTCTCAGAAAGATTCCACAGAAATCAAGCATATTCTAATATTTTCAAACATTGTAGCTGAATTTCCCTACTTTTTCTTGCTTAGAAGGAGACAGCTGAAATGGGTGAATCAAGAATTGTGATTCTTCTGGTCATGTTCAACGTAAACTGAACACTACATGGCTACTATAAAAACACTACATCTGGTTACTATTAGCATACTAATATAGAGTGTTAGTATACATTAGTACATTCACTCTTTTTCTTGGGAAGGAAGACAAATTTTGAAAGATAGGTCTTTGTTCTACTGAAATACAGATACGACAGAGTGCAGATCACACTCATTAAAATAAACAAATAAACATATATCTCAGTTTCTAAAGAAAGGACTGGAAAATTGATGGCATTATGGAATGGCAAGGTAACAGAGCCTGAAATGAAAGGTAGTAGAGAAAAGGACACAGTCAAAAATAAGAGTAAATGTGAACGGTTTCTAAACCCCAAAAGATGTAACAAGTTTGTTCCTAATATTGCATTTCATGTTTTCACAGTAATATTATTCTAAAAGATGGTTCAATTGTCTTCTTTCTTCAGAATAAAATTTGAGACACATCAACATGGCCCTGCCTAGGTGTCATCCAAATCTGGTCCCCTTTAGAACCATCCAAATTCGTGACAGGCTATTAACTATTATGAGATAGAGATGCAATTTAGACTTTTCACTGAAAATCCTGTAATATTTACTGTTTCACCTATAAAAAGTTGTTTATTGGAACAAAGTGATTATGTGACAATCTCATTTTTACATAAAGGTGCCTGTATTCAACACTTGTGTGGTAATGCTAAACGTTGAAATACAACAAAAGTTTAGTGACAACATATTTTCCTATAAAAACAAGTGAGTTCTAAGATTGGTTGTTCTTCAAGACTGTATGGAGATACTGTAGCTAAATCAACCAAAGAATAGGCAAGGCTACAAATATAGTCTCTTCCTAGGGTCCCAAAACTTGGTGAACGTTATTTCATTCACTAAGAAGTCATGCAAAAGTTGGTATCTTTGGTTGGCCATGATGTCTGAGTGAGGAAAGGTTTAACGCCTGGGTTCAGCGCTTCTGAAGAACAAATGTACACAAGGCAGTTGGCATTATGTCTCAGAAAGGACCTCCAGACAGGTCTCTAAGTTCTTTTTGTTTACAGTATTTTCTTGTCAATAAATTGCCCTCTTATCTCAGAGAAGACAAGCATCCTTTCAAAAGAGAGAATGACTTAATTTCCCTGACTCACTGGCAAGAATGAAAAGTGGTTGAAGTGGCAAACAACTGCAAGTAAAACTAAAAAAGTCACAGTTCTCTCTTGAACATTGATTCAAACTATAAGCAAGCCAAAAAGACCAGGCAAAGCTGTAAATCACATTCTGATCCCATCAATGTCAGAGCCACAGTTAATACTTGAGCCTGTGTAAGTGATATTACAAAGTGAACTCGTCTCCTTTTAAGGGCAAAAGAAGTTTGTTTTCCAGCAGAAATCTTCACAGCATGCCTGTAACGTTGCTAAGTCAAGGCTGTTTTCCAAGGCATAATGTTTAAGCGTTTAGTTTTTGTTGCTGTTTAAAAAGTTTTTCAAACTACTACAGCTTCATTTGTGATCTTGGACCTGTGAAGGATAATAAGTCGGGAGAGCATCGCTGCAGACAGACAATTCCCGAGTTCCAAGCCTCAAGTCCACCTGCACTGGGTCGGATTCCCCCTTCAACGCCGTGCAGTTTCTCAGCTGTAGCTCTTTGCTGAAGCAGAATTCAATCTGACCAATTGTTTGTGCTTTTTCACCCTAGAAACATGAGAGAGAAGATCAGCTTGATAGGGAGAAGAAAATCAATCAATTCTTCAGACATATTGCCTTATCTTTAGAATGCAGTAGTGCTTAACTGTCTATTTGTCACTCAAGAAACGTGAAGGCCATGGATACCAGATACATCCACTCTGAACAGCTTATAGTCCATATTTGTTTTTAAGGAGCAAGCAAACAAAGAAATGCATTCCAGCAACATAATTCAGTAACAATGCCTAACTAGTAAGTCTCATTAGAAAATGCTGTGACATAGATTTCCTTCACATTTATCAAATCTGCACAGCACACACAAGCTGTTCACCTTAATGATGAGCTCTGGCTGAACTCCATGAATATTCAAGGGCCTGTGTGACCTGAGAGCCACCTCTCATCAGCTCTTTCGTAGTAGGCTGGGAATTGAGGCAAAGAAAATTCTCCAAAAAGGAGAAAAGAAACCTGGTTTTATAATAGCTTTTACTGAAAAGAATGCAGAAGCAAGCTGTCAAAAGCAGAAATGTCATTTCTGAAGTACACGGCAGATTAAGAAGAAAAGTACTGGCCGTGAAGAAGGCAGGCAGGTATGGAAGTCTTTCACATAAGGAAGAAGATTCTATGAAAATTCCCCCAAATGCTCAGGTATGACAAAGTACATACAGAAAAAAACGCTTTTGAGACCATTAAGCAGGACAAAAATATGTATACATGACAAAAGCGTTTGTATGGTTGGTTTTGGAGTATTTTTTGGTTGTGCCTTTTTTCTGTGTGGGGTTTTTTTTTGTTGATGGATTGGGTTTGTGGTGGCATTTTTGTTTTTTTTATTCTGTTTTTTAAAGAAACCTAAGAACAGAGCAAATGTGTAATATTTTTAAGCATCTAAGTACCCCTCATAATGCACTTCACGCATTGCTAAGTCTGGAATTCTGAAAAGGGGTATCTTTAACTGGCACGTACTTGTTTCTTTCTATTACCCATCAGCTTGAGCTCTTAAGCACAGCAGACTCAAAGTGTAAGCAACTTTCACCTAATTTGAGCAGTATCCCAACTGTACTAAAAGCAATGGCAGCACTACAGTGAACAGAGCTAGAAACTGAGGTTTCTGTTAGCTCCGCTTTTTTTCAACATCAAGTGGTGAGTGAGGGTGCAACTCCCATCCAACTCACATTCCTTTGTTGCTTAAAGTAATGTAAAAATACATTTTAAAAATAATTGTAACCTGGAATTCTTTTTCACATGAAGAAGGACCCGAGTATAAAAACTTCAGAGCACTACTAAAGCAAAAGAGCTGACAACACACAAGCTGTTAAACTCCACTGCTGTTTGTGTATGTGCAATGTCAAGTGTTTTGTAGTAAACCACCTGTATCAAGCCAAGGTAATATGGATCACTTGTATGAGAGAAAGCTATCTTGTAGGTTTGTTGTTTTGTTTTCTTTTTTAATAGAACTAGAGTAACCTAGCTGAAAATTAAAGAAACAGCCACACAGCCTATTGTTCAGAATGCCATTTTGTTCCTTCAAAGCATTTTTTGTTATGGTGACCTGTATTTTACACTAGTAAATGCTCTGTGTACCACATTCTCTACTGCATTGTGATTCACAGTACAACTGCTGGCAAGAGAAAAGCAGAAAGAAATGGAAATTTTAGACACTGCTGGCTCAAACAGAAAGCTTATATAGTCATCCTGAACCACAGTGAAGCTTAAAATGCTTTGTTGTACCTCTTTAGGTAGGGGGCTTGAAGAACAAACTCAGAGACAAGCCTCTGAGTTGCTTTATGTCTGAATGATTCTGTACACTGAGTAACTTCTTGATGCAGAACACAGGAGCCATGGCCAGTGAAGGTAAGACTGCTGTTGACAGGTAGTACCCTTGTCAAGGCCAACAGTCACTGGCTACATTCATCTCACCCTCGTTTTGTTATGTTTTGTTGATTTTTTTGTTTGGGTTTTTTTTTTTGGTTTTGAGAGTTTGGGGTTTTTACCTCTTCTGGAGGAAGACATTGGATCTTCGGTGTTACACCATAGAACCTCGTAAGAGCTTCCTTTATGGCAGTCATCTGAGAAATTCAAAAGCTTATATAAGTTCATAAGTCACTAGCATATCTTCCAACAGCTCCCACACTTCAGTTCACAAAAACTTTTACATAAAGCACAACCTTAAAGACCTATGGAATTAAAAAAGATCACTTATTCTGTAGAAATTACTTGACTCCCGAAAAACAAAAAAGCACACATGATTTTTTTTTTTAATAAAAAATTGCCTCTTACCTGGTAATATGAACTGCCTGGCTTTATCCCAGCTTTCAGGAGACAACTGCAACAGAGATTAAATGTCTTCCAGGCAAGCAAATACAGTTTCATAATCATTAGGTAAACAGATAATCTTAGTGAGAACTTGGCAAGCATTACAATGATAGGGAGCAAAGGAAATTTGTCTTCATCCTCCACAAGGCCTAGAGAAGGCTCCCTTTTTCTGAAAGGCCACTTCCAACCCAACTCAGCAGGGTCAGGAAGAACCCTCTCCCCCACCTTAATCTGAGGAGTTGGGAGAGTTGAACCTTCAGACACAGCTCACGGAAAGGGCAATACTACTGCTATTTGCTGGACCTTTGCAATGCTCCCTTGATTGTCAGGCAGGGCACGATGTTTAGTTGCCTCCCTTCCTCTGCCTTGAGCCACAGTCCTGTGCTCCAGCCACCTGGAGGGCATGGAGGCAGATATATGAGGCTGCTCTATGCACCCTCGTGTTCTAAGACAGGATGGGGTTGCTGGGGTGAGAGGTATACAGTACACTGGGGAAAGGACATGGATCTGGATCAACACCCAACATAAGGGCAGAAAAACATATCTTTTTGAGGAGGAAAGATTGTTCACATAATAGAAAAAATGTAACTCAAGAACCTCTAGCCCATATACTCCTTCCTTTAGATTTTGTCCAGAGGGAATTCCACAATTCCAAACTGACACGATGACTCAGGACTTGACAGGTGTCAAATCTCTAAGTCCCAACTTCTTCCTCACAGGATTTAATCCACAAGTGCTGATAATGCTCAACCCTTCCACAGTCAGGTTCTGCACAGGGAAGATGTAACCCAGATGACTAAAGGTCTAGCTCCTTCTCATACTTATTTGACACTGGATATAGGGAGGCCAATAAAATAGGTTATGTTCTGTCACTCTCACATAAGCCTGCATGATGTCTGCTTTGTAATAATTTCCTTTTTGGAAACAATCTTTTAATCATCAACACTACCTTTTATCTTTCAAGTATAAAATGAAGTACAATGAGAATACTAGCAGTCTTTACTCTTTTCAATAAAGATTAATTTAATCAAGTTCATTTTTACACTGGAAAATATGCTCTGCACAATAAATTTCACCTTGTCTGTTGAACAGACATATAATAGACAGGTGTCTGTTCTTTTTTGGTGTTACACATGCTGATATAGAGTCACATAATCGGTCACTATACCATCTGTAAAACGTTTCAGTCACACCATCACAGCTACTTAGGCAATTGACTTAGACATTAATTTTAGCACTACATATGACGTGCTCTTGAGCACTGTGTATAGAAAAATATGGTTACATTTTACAAGACACCTACAAATATAGGGGAGGGGTGGGAGAAAATCATGTTTCCTTTGTGCAAATGCAAAGCGAATGAGACTTTCTTAGGAGATTGCTTGGACAAGACACTGATAGAACACGAATGGGATTATTTTACTTTTTCTAAGATATGTTTCTAGATACAAAAGAAATTATTTCCTCTATCAGAAACTGTTGTCTTATACAGAAAGACAATTCACATTCAACAAATTAGTGTCAAAGGGCTCTGGCCTTCTGGCAGCCAGAATGTGCACATACAGCACTTGGATACAACATTCCCATCAAGATTTTGCATCAGGAATAGCCAGTGCTTTAGAACCATGAGGAGGAACCAACTCCAAGGACAACGCAAGAGTGTCACACCAGGGTCATTTGAAAGGACAGCAGAGGCCTGCCTGCAGTGACAGAACGCTGCCCTTCAGAACATCCTCTCTTGCTGTGACCTCTCAGCTTTTCCCAAGGATGTTCTTGCACGATTTTGCCTGCAGCTTGTCTTTTCCTCCGAGCAGAGCACTGTCTCGTCTTTTCTAAAAACACGTGTTTGGGCTTCAGTATGACTAAGAGGTTTGGTGCATGTTGTCACTTGATTTAGAAGTTTGCAAGTAGCTTTTGGTAGTGACATCTAGCCCATATGGCTTCTCGAAACTTACTGTCTCCGTCTAAAATGATGCTGCAAAGAATGCTGCTGGTTTACCAGACTCTGAATTGAACAGACACATACTTCTCAGAGTAGATAACCCTTCTTTTGAGCTCCAGTACTAAAACTAATTTATGCTAATACTAAGTTCTGCTCTATCATCGGATTTTTAGACTTCCGGGGTTTTTTGGCTAGGTTTGAAACTTTTAGAAACTGTTTGAGGTAAGAGGCAGACCAAGTTCATTTATGTACCTGTTAAGATCAAGGTGCTTGTAGAGTTCCAAGGCTTTACCAAAGTATTTCTTCTGAGAATTAAGAACCTGAAGTGTGGCTGCACAAGTGCCATGCTTCTCCCACTCATGTTTCCTACAGGAGGAAAGCAAAATCTAAGTTTTAGAAAACATTATTTGTAGATATGTGTGCTGAACAAACTAGCTGATGTATTTGAATCAAGTATTTAAAAGGCTACACGTGTGAAGTGGGACACTGCACTCAAAAAATACTGCGTGTGCAAGACCAAAAATATAGAGATGTTGCTGCAAACCAATTGTAGCAACGTCTGCATATTTTTTTCTGTAGAATTATTTACCAAGAGATTTTGGACCTATCATGAGAATAAGGAGGAAGCCTGAGAAGTCCCTCATTATGGTTTCCAACACCAGACTATGAAAAAATTCTTTCAGACCGTAAGTTGTATTAAAAGTATATAAATGAATTTTCCTTAACATTGGCAGCTGCAAGACAGACTCTTCAAATTAATGTAAAAGCTGTTGAAGATAAAGGAGAGGATGATCTAAAGGTTTGGATATTATTATAGACCTGGGACATTCAGAATCAGTTTTCTCTTTTCCTATAAATTATGTATATGAATTTGTGTTTAAGTCACTTATAGTTCAGCCCTTCACCTGTTATCCCACCAGAGGGATAACACTGTTCTCCACCCCCATCATCTATCTTTTTAAGACTGGACATTGCAAGATGAGGAGAAAAGAGAGATACCATAGATACCATTACTTCATTCCAAAGCTGACTAAGAGATCTTTGTGTCAAACAAGTGCAGCAAAACTTAACTGAGAAAAAAACATTGCTCAGGTGTTTCTTTAGATTAAGTTAGCCCAGTTTGGGCTTTCGTTTTTTTCAGTCTTCTCCTTTGATTTAGCTTGTTTTCAAAATAACTACAGGAGTTTATGAAGTAAATATGTATCATGCTCTTTCGATAGAAATGTCTCTCCATGTATTGCAAAGAGATGTTTGGAGGTCAGAACAGTAAGAATCTGACTAGAAAATTTAGAGTATTTCTAAACTTTGTGTGAGTTTTAGGGCAGTCTTTTATGCTAAATGCACTTTCAAACAACTAATTTTTTTCAGAAATGAAACGACTAGCCCTTATTTTGTATGGAACACTGAAACTGAACAAGCTGCTAAGACAAGACTGCTGCCTCAACTTTTACTTTGGCCTGTGGCAGTATTTTCACAAGTTTGCTCCATCAAGTCCTCTAACAACAGGGAACTGAGCGGGGGGGAAGAGGGGAGCAATTCTTGCAATTTTATGGCAAACAAATTCAAATAAAACGGTAAAATTCAAAATATACCTCTATCAATTCTAAAGTCTATTGAAAGACTAAATAGTATAATCTGTTATAATAAGACCACCTGCAGATTTGGGGAGGAACGTCTCTTGGGGTTTTTTTCCAAATTTTCATGAGCCACTTGTATTAAGTACAAATTCAGCAGATGTACACATAAAGTTATCTAATCACAAATTCGTGCCACTAACACAGAATTCCCTCACTTTATCATGCCTTAAGAACCTCCTGGAAGAGCAGAGAAGCAGAAAGCCAACTATTATTCACTTGAAAGCTTGCCTTTGAATTGTCCATTCATATTAAAAACTTCAGATTTTTCCTAAGTAATGAAAACACTTTAAAAGAAGTTATGTTTGTATCTACAGAAATTCGTACACTATTTCTGAACAGAGAATGAATAAAGCAACTATGGTGTCAAGAGATACAAAGGAGCCGAGAAGATGCATTACTGGGAGGTTTTCACTACACATTTCCAAAGTTAGCCTTGTAGAGTTCTCATCTTGGCTGTAACACTCACTCTACTGCACATCAAATGAACTGTTAACTGCTGAGAGTCCACTTTACATGGACCAAACCCCACATTTTACAAGGAATCTGAAATTACTGATGAGAAAACAGACCACAGTTTTAAAGATTTAGGGTAGATTTAGAAAGAGATACTGAGCTGGAGACAAGGTTTCGCATGCAGGATGACAATTTTTCTCCAGAAAATATATGCATGCATGTGTGTAAAACTAATGATAAAGTGTTGTGCCTGTCTTGTAAAGGCTTTCAGTGGTACTTGTATCTAAGTGTCCTTCCTTCCGGGAAGAAGGCTGAAATACAGGGCCAAAGAAGTATCTCATTGCTAACATGGGACTGCTACTGGAGTGGCTTGGTCCAGTTCACACTGATCGCAGGGCTCAGGCAATGGGGCAGTGGGGATGGATCCCAAGTGAAAATACAAAGCCACCCACAGACAGTGCCCAGGCATCACCACCTGCTGCAAGCCAAAAGTACACCAGGCCCAAGCTTTTTAATCAGTCCTGGGAGCTTCCAGAAAGGAGAGTTACTTTAGAGTTTCGACAAAACAATTACTGAAACTTTAAGATTACGCTCTTGTGGAGTGTTACCGTATTCTGCAGCACAGCCGTGTGAAAAAAAAAACCAAACCAGCAAACAATGACGCAGATATAGCTAATTCTGACCATTCAGCACAGGCATATGAAATTTCACCTTCACCTCTTGTATTTAAATGCAAACTGAAGCGGTTGGGAAATGAAGGAGCTGCAGGTACCAAAGAATAGCATACAGTAATCTGTTTAGCAATAAAAGAATTAATGTCTCGATGTTATTCACATTAGCCTTCACCTAGACCACAGGAAGACAATTCTACTTAACCCTCAGCTCACAGCTGGGTGGCACGTGGATTACAGAACACAGCTGCCTGTATCCATGCAGAGCCCTCATCCTTCTGTACCTCTCGTACCCACGAGCTAGGCAGTAGCACAGAGCACATATGTCACCCGTCAAGAACTTTGCTGAATGTTCTTTCCTCCTTGCAGGACACAGGTACTTTCGCAGGCACCCGGGAGCAGGGCTTACAGCCCAGATTGGGTTCCACTATATAACCTGTTCCTCTCCACCATTTTCTCTATGGTGCTGCTAAGATTAAGTGTCACACCTGCATACTTCAAAGCTAAGTCCTGCAAATGAAGTCTTAGGGGGGTGCAGAAATGCAAAGTAATACAATTGGCACAACTCAGCTGTGAGGAAAGAAAGCCGAACTTCAAGGACATTTTGCTTCTTGCTATGTGCCACAAGGAGAGAGCTTCCCCAAGCACAGAGTCACACAGATATTACAGACAAGTCAGGAGCATAGCAAGTGAGTCCAAGGCAAGACTGGCTCATTATTAGGCTTGGAACAAAGAAGGTCTGTAAAGCACAGCTGCAAGTGCTGTCCACAAAAGATTAGGACAGCTGGGTGTCCCTGTAGGCAAACTCTTGATTCCTTCTTCCATAGCGCATATATATATATATAAATAAATTGATCCTAAAGGAAATTCTCTTGGTCGAGAAATTTCTATTTGGTCAGAAAAAAAACCAAACTAGTATAAAAAAGATGGTTTCGGTTAATAAATGTTGAGATACAAAGCACACGTAACCCTTTGTCCTGGATTAAAGGCATTCCACCCTGTCCATTTCAAACTTTTGGATGGCAACTGTAAACACAGTCGAGAGAGATGTGTAATTATCTTTACAGAAGCACTCATAGCCATCCTAAAATCACCAGGAAGATTCCTTACCTCCCCTTTTAAGCCAAGGCAACAGTAAGAGTTAAAGCAAGTAAACATAACACACAATTATAGCAGTTTTGGAAGAATCCTGATGTTATATGCTAAGATATTCAATACCTCTTTTTCTTGTCACTGCTCATGCTCCTTACTCAGTTAAGATGCCTTTAGTGACAAATACTCAGTTTTACTTTCAGATTCTTACCTCTGCTGTATCGGGATTTTTACACTACAGAGATTTTAATTTTTTTTTATTATTAAGTACAATATTTTAACTGAAGGGAGACACACAATAGGATCTTACTGGCTTTCAGTTGTCTTAAAAGCTTGCATTTACAAAATCTGCAGTTAGAGCTGCCAATTACAGTGCACTTGTCACCCTACTGAAAGGGAATCAATTATTCCATCAATCAAACAAAATATTAGTTACATTGTTATAATCTGAATTTCGTATTGCTTTTATGGTATTTCTAGTTATATTTTAAGGTACTGAAATAAGTGCTGTTTGCCAGCTTTGAACTGAAAGGGAAAAGGTTTTGAATGTATGTGTTTATATCTGCTGCCTATCAAAATACCCCTTTTAGTAAATAAGGGCTGATATACAGCTGTTTTTATGAACAGCTGGGTGAGCAGTGCAGGGATGATGCTAGATTCACGACACAATTTTTCTTATTCGGATTCCAGGAACAGTTTAAGGTAGCATAAACTCATGCTACCACAGAAAGAAGCAGTCAGGCTCTCCCCAGTAAAGAATAGCAGAGCGGAGGGAAAAAGTAAGACCACCACTTTCGACAACTCTAAGTTGCTAAAAGACATTTGTGGAAAGCGTTTAAGACTCTGAGACAAGTGTCTTCTGTAGAGCAAAGACAAAATTAAGAGATGCATACTCCCTTGAAAGCCTCTTCCCTAATGACAAAAGGCAGTAAATTCAAAGGAGGGGAAAAAAAAAAGCACTTAGAGCTGTGGTGGCTTTAAATGCTCTGCCTCCAGCTACGTGCTCTGCTTCTTATCTGATATTACCCTTTCATTGTATATCCACAAGAACAAATTGCATATCCATACCTTGGCTGCTGCAGCTCAAGGCTCAGCAAATTGCCCTGAACTGCCACTGATTTTAGTTTAAAATAACGCACTTGAAGTGAAGCCTCTGCAAACTCAAAATACCACCCACACCAGTTCAAGTGTCTGATTATTCAGAGGTGAAGAGAAACACGAAGAGTACTGTTGTCAGGGGAGATCAAAACCTCTTTCTCCTTCCCAATGCACCAAGCAAGTGCATAAATAAACTCTCAGATCTGATTTTAGGCTGCTAGGGTAATATGTAAAAAGAGTCAACTCTGCAGAGAAGTGGCTAGGAAGATCCAAAGTATCCTATTTTTCCCTTTCCTCCTTTCTGAGATTCTGTGAGAAAGCCCCAAAGGAAGGGTCTCTCAAAGGCTAGCAACACAGTGAAGCCAGCCAGGAAGAGAGACCTGGAAGCTGCTCATACAGCCAGCTGTGACCACCCAGGAGTGTTACAGCTACTCAGATTTAGCGTGTCACTAGCAGCTGCTTCTCCTCCCTGGGGACAAAGGGAGGAAACACACTCTTCCCTCTCTCTTTCACCAAGTTTCATTTCTCCAAAACCTCTGCCACAGCCCTCTTCAACAGCTGCATTTTGCAAGTGCTCTAACAAGAAAACAGATTTACTGTGTAAATGAGATTGACCAGACACACTGCGCTTCCAGTGGCTTCCTGGACACTGCTTCTCATGCACACTATTCTCACCTGAAGAATTATTAACTCAGATAGATTTTTGTTTTTATAAAATAATATCCAAAATACTTAAGGGTTTTTTTGTACTCACCAGAAATGGGTGCAATTCAGAGATGAATGAAGCACATCAGGCCAACACTGTCTCATGTCCGATAGAAGATCCTAAGAATATCACACTTAATAAATGCACCTACAGTGTTGAAAACCTATTTCTTACACAATCTACATACATTGATACATTTTCTAGAACTGAAACCTCATATTTCAATATTCCCAACTTGCAGAAAAAGAAAAGGTCTTTATTCCCCAGTATTTTGAAACTGCTGTTGTTGGAGCTAACAAGTTAGTACAACTACATAAATATATGAATGTACTAATACCAAACACAGTGTCTCAAAATAAGTTTCCTTCAACTGTCCCTGCAGAAACTGTTCATTCGTGCAGCTTCTCACATTCGTCAGCTCAAGCCTACTAACCCCATTTACCAAGCACTTGAATGAAATACAGTTTTTATTTTTTTAATTAAAAAAAGAATTAAAAAAGGACTAATGCTCTGAGAGAAAACACACAGAAAAATGTACTCTCAATTCTTATTATTTTGTGTCTTTGCAGTAGAAAATTGAAGGGATAACACTGACTGACTGTAACCTTTTTTTCATCTGCCACTGCAGGCTTTTTTTAAGGATGTGGCTGAACGAGTCAAACCACGTGTCTACAAAGCAAGCAGGAACAGCTGCTAACTACCAAGAGCGATGCAACTTCAAGTACTACCAGAAGCACCTAATGAGTTTGTGGAACATACCTCTCAGCAAACACTAAGAGTGATACATTAAAAGCTACAGATTTTGCAAACAGAATGTGCGAAAGTAATTGCATTCAACTCTGCTTGGAATTACTGGTTTTGTTTCAAATAAATACCTTAATCTCGGTGACATTAAAATGCCATGTTCTATTACAGTCTTCAGCTTTGTCAGGCCTAGGGAAGCAAAATAAAAGTGTAAAAAAGATGTCTTCTCACGCACTAATGGTAACTAACAGCATTCTATTCTGTATCATTAGCCTGAATTTTAAATATGCAAGATTATAGCTAGAGATTTTATTTAAAAATGCAAGGAACCTATCAGCATCTACAATGTTTTAGAAATAAAAATTCAAGATATTAATTATGGCCAACACATTTCCCACCCAGAGGCTCTTTGTTAGACCCTCCAGTCCCTGTGTAAAATCATACAGGGGGAGTAAACGATATGAAAGGTCCTGCACATGATGTCATTAATGACATTGACCTACTCAGCCACTGCAGTACGGGATCATTCTGCAAGTATCACAAAACACTCACAGGAAATCCAGATATAATGCTATTCACCGTTCCAGAATGTACTGATTAAATGTCTGTACTGATTTTTTTACCAGTATTTGTCAGGAAAACTTTTGAATGGCTGCCACTGGCACTAATTCCAGTCAGCTGACTTCCTTGAAGTTCTGTACTTTTGCAATACTAGTGTCGAGTTAAGATATTTAACGCCACAAGCAGTCACGAGACATTAACAAATTCTGTGTACTCAGGAAGAAAAAAAAAGGGGGGGGAACTACACTTCCCTTTTTGTCAGAGAATATTACTGATCTTAGAAGATGTATAAATAAAATGCTCATGTGGCAAGAGGATTTCAGAAGGTCAATGCGTCATGAGACACAGAAGTATACTTCAGTTTTCTATCAAACCATTGGGCTTTGATTTCCATCAAAATGAAGGCTCTTGTTTCAAGTAGTCATAAAAACAGGTAGATTAGGCCCTCAAAAAAAGAAAAAAAACCCCAACAAACCAGCACTAAACACCCTGGTACAAAACTTGCTTTTTTTCTATCCAGGTTGAAATAAAAAAACTCTGTGATCATACCACAGTCCATGGATTGTCCAGTACTCTGGAGGATGTTGACAGTCATTAGCACTCATCTGTAGAAAACCAAAATACAGAATATTTGTTATGTGTGTCCAGGGACAATGGTTTAGAGAAAAAAAAAAAAAAGCTCATTCACTTGTGGTCCATGGCTCTAGCGAGAAAAAAGAATTTTTGCTTGCCCAAAATCAGGAACTAGTAAACTCCAGTTACTTGAAGCTGTCATGGATTGTGCCACTTAGCAGAGACCAAATTGCATTAGAGTTTTGAAGGAGATTAAGTGAACATCAGGGGACATCCCAACAGGCCGTGTAAAAAGACGACAAAGGGTAGGTTCTGAGGTAACAGAAACTAGCCTGATCTATGCTAAATGACTGGAAGTAAATCTGGATTTATCATATTCCACTTGGCAGCTCTCTGTATTTTTCTCATCATCAGATCTTTTCAAGGAGTGCAGAGACATTAGAACAAAACTTCTCAAAACAAACTACAATATTAAGCACACAACCATCTTTAAGCATCCAGAAGTAGTTTTATTGTTGTATTAAAAGGGAAAAATGCCAAGAATAGAAGAAGTAGGTTGCTTATTCCAAGTTAGAATACGTTTTTTAAATGAGGGGCAAGGGAATGGAGAGAAACCAAAGACTATATACATTCCTACCAAAAAAACCCCCAACTTCTAACAATGCAGCAAAAATAGCCTACACATTAATTATTGTTTAAAACTGAGTACATATTCCTGAACAAAACAAACAAGCAAAACACATTCACACATCACAGAATACCATTAGTTTATTCTTCCTGATTATTCTGCTTAGTAGTTATGGCTCAGTAAATATTTTTCGCCATTAAATAACAACCTCCTCAGACTTGCCTTCCCCATAATAATAGCATTCCTTTTAGCCTCTGCATCCTGTCTTAATTATGCCACAATGCTCTTTATGTGATGTCAGAGCAAGAGCAGAGTGTAGACAGATGCAGAGGCCTGTAATCTCACTAATTGCCTTCCACACACCACAGGCCAGTGGCCGCAAACCTGCAAGCTTCGCAAGACCTTCTTGTTCTGCGCCCATCTCCTTCCTCTCCTCTCTTGCTGACAGTAACAGAAGCAATGAAACCCAGCAACAGCTTTTTTTCCTGAAAGGAATATTTTCAACAAACACACACTGTAAACATCTAAACAGTATCGTTTCTGACATGACACAAGCTTTGTGGAGCTGAAAGACTTCAGATGTCTAGTCCAAAAGACAGCAAACTAATAGCCAGCAGTTAATGCAATCATCCCCTGAAAAGTAACCTGACAACAAAATAGCTTGCTCAACCATGGCTGGTAACAAGAACAGTGTGATTGTTCTTACCCCAATCTCTAACCACAGTTCTCAGACACACTGAAAGAAAGCTCAATGCGGTTTACATTTGGAATCAGCTCTCCCCTGTCAGGGCACAAACTTTATCAACAGTGTAAAAAACAGCCTAAAGTTTTGCTTCTGCTGTTTTGTAACTTTTGCTTTCTGCTTTAACCTTCCACTCTCCATCATCTTTGGTAAGTCATGG